TTCCGGAATACTGTCGACAAGGCAATAATAATAATAATAATAAAGTGGTATCCCATCATAAAAAAATTTCGTTCTAGAAATCATATACCTATACATATAAGTGAACATGATTATCAATATCAGAGGATCTAGATATGAATCGAACATATATGATATGATATAAAAGAATAAATCAGGTTTGGTTTCATTCACCCTTCATGATACTTGATTAGTGTCATATTATAATCATACCACATTCAGGTCATAAATCTCTATACTCATAATAATGATATTCAAAAGATAGAGTTGAAATAGTTATAGACATGAGCGTTGTGATTGAAAAACCTGGAAGGTTTCTGTGATAATCAGTATAGCAAGATACAATTTTCTGAATATTCAAGATAATTCTGTTGTTTACGAAAATTTATTGTCGAGGTCCTTCAGTGTGTTTGGTCAGTTGAGATTGTTCAATGATCAGATTTTGTTAGAATCTCAAGATTACTGGTAGAGCCAAAAAAGGTAAGACCAACTGAATATGACGTCATTATGGAAGACTCCATATGGACGAACTCGTTCATGGAACAATATGAATAAGTATCGGCTCTATATGTGACTATAATACAAAAACAATACCACACCGAAGCTATACTTGATGCAACACCTGAATTGTATCTCATTAAATTAATATAGACCAGTACAGGGTGTCCGAAAAGATTACGTCGTGAATGATTCATATAAAAAATATTGCTACTGCATTTCGTTACGGAGTTATTGACCTTGAAAGTTTGAATAGAGAAATATATTTCATGTATAAATATATCAAACGGTTGGCATGGTATCAATGATATTTGGGCAACTGAGTTAAGTCATACCAATGCTCCTTTCGAAATGTAAACGGCTGTTCAGTGATTATGTTCTATACAGGATGGAACAACTTTTTCTCCGTTTAATCGACGCATTCTCGACAGAGGTGACAAACTCGACATTTTTGCTCCCACCGTTTGATTCTCTTATCTTTTTTCCAGATGACGGCTATTTAATTAATAGTCAATCGTCAATTCAAATACGAGATGTCAAATGTCAACAGATTGCTTTTGAATGTGTTTGTTTTGAATGACACTACACACGCCATTATTTCAAATGATATTCTTTCTCCTTTTCACTGAATATGGATAAATCACAAGAAAATCATATTTCTAGTTGACTAAATAATTGAAGAAAATATGTCTCACATTGTGATATATATATATAGATTGTCCAATGACGAATAAAGAAGTGCAAATTGTTTTGAATGCAATCCAGAAGACAGGCGGAAAAGAAGGTGAAATTTGTGACTTTATAGTGAAATATCTTGATAAATAATGGTTTGTTCGAATTCTCATTATCAAACTCGTGTTTTTCAGAAAAAAATCGTGAGTACCAAAAACATTTTCGAAAAAATAACCCATTGCATGCTAAATTCAGTTTTACCGAAGTTTTTATTACCGTTGAAAATAGGTGGAATGAATTTTTTCAAAATGCACTTCTCTTTAGAACGGTACAAGGTATCGATTACAATGAATTCCACCACTTTTATAGAAAAATGATGCAGGAATCGAACGGTGGAAACAAAATGTCAAAATTGTCACCTCTGTCAAAAATGCCTTCAAACGGGAACAAAATGGTCCTATCCTGTAAAAAACATAATCACTGAACAACCGTTTACATATCAAAAAAAGCATTAGTATGAGTTCATTCAGTTGCCCGAATATCACTGATTCCATAGCAACCTTTCAAAAGTTTTTATGAAATATATTTTTGTTATTCAAACTTTCGATATCATAAACTCCTAGACATTTTTTTAAATAAAGTACTGACATGATTTTGGTCCACTCTAACAGCCGACATGACCTTTCCGAACACCCTGTATAAGGACAATTTGGTAAATGGTTATACTCAACTATAAGTAAAATCAGTGGTACCTGATAGGAAGGTACTATTTTCTACTCAATCAACTATATATAATTAATAGTTCTCAAGGTGAGAAGGATAAATATAGTATACGACATGGACTGAATTCAGAATAAACAATGCAATTGGATAATGACTTATTTTTATTTTTTCATGCTCGATGATAATTGCTTCCTAAAACTAATTAGTGAATATTATGTATCCTCAATAGATAATCATATTGTGAGCGAATGTTAAATCGATGTATCATTTTCTATTTGATAAATGTACTTTTCATGTTATTTGAATAATTATTATGTTTTCCCGTATTTATTTACTCGCATACCGTTCTACTTATAGGTAAACCCGTTGCTAGTTACTACAAGCACTGACGAAGGATTAATTAGTGGATTCTGATTGTCCATGAAATATCATATGGTGAGACATCCATTGGTGAGGCATTTCAATACGGCTATTTACAATTTTCACCTTGTAATTCTTGCAGAATGGTGAAATACCTATGTTTTATCATTCAAAATCATAATTGCAATGAGAGCTAGATCAACGGATGCATCTCGCGAATAAGCAGATTGACAGATATATTTTGCAATTGAGCTCTAATTACCAAAACGTAGTCATTCTGACGAAATTGATGAACTGATTGAATGCTGATGTTGGATCAACATTCTCTTGGGTCTATTTATATTTCATGTTCTTTTCCATAGTTTTGGAATAGGGTTTGTGATATCATTAGCTGAGTCATGAACTACTGGTGCACATACCAAACAGCACCTTTCACTCTGTCATCGTCTCATTCTCTTGCGTCAGCTGATTTGATACTCTCGAGATATGACATTTATTCTCCAATCACGCCTGGCATACCCAATTTCATATGCATATTCGTCTTGAACATCGCGAATTCTATTCTTTGTAAGAAATCTTCACTATGGAATTCCCAAACAAATATATTTTCTTTTGAAGAGTTACAGCCTATAAAAGAAGATCTATCGATTTTTCTTATACCTCGGTGCACGCAGTTCTGCTGATGACCATGATTTCAACATTTCGCGAATACTTTTGAACAAGAAATGAGAACAGTGATGAAGAGATTCTCGAATAAGAGCTTCATAGAGTGTCAACATGAATTCTGATCGCATTATTTACTTCTCAATTAGAATTTCCAGACAAATCATTGATCCAGAGCTATTGCCAAATGCATCTGTCAGTCATATCCTTATTGCGGGAAAAATTTCAATTCGTCTCGTGGGTGATGCCTCGCTCACAAACTCACTCACTTTTCTAGAACACCGTAAAGAAGTTGGCGATCTGGCTCTATTTTATAGATATTCTCATGGACGATGCTATTCTGAAATATCGAAAATTGTTCCTCCCTTGGCAGTCATCGCGAGATTAACCCGTCGAGTTGTGGCTTAGCACCCCTTCGTTGTCACTGTGGAGACCTGCAGAACATCTCTTTCCAAAGACGAGGCATATTACCTCCAGAAATTGAAGAGGATCAACAATTCTCACCTTATTTCCCTTCGTTCTCACGATGTTCTCTGAACATTACACGATATCCCTTTTCGTGGGAACCAGAACATAAAAAAAAATTCAAAATGTACTGATTTAACGATGAATATGTCCATCAGGTCCTATTTAAATGTGACATAAATCATGCGATTATAGTCATTGCCAGGTTAACATTGAAGGAATCTTGCAATTAGCATGATTTCTTGAAAAAATCTGTCCATAAGTCCTTGATTGTAAAATGAATTTTGCAATAAGAGAACCTGATTGCCAGATGAAAATGAGATAGATTCCGCAATTTCCCAATAAATCTTTCCATTTGTCCCTATAATAATAATTGTGAATAGAATCTCACAATTTGAGTAATATTTCCATATGAGAATAAGATCAATCTTGCAATTCACCTAATTGCCAGATAAATCTGTGAATTCGGCAATACTTGTGAGATGAATCTTAGAATAAGAGTAATTATTGTCATTCGGAAATGAGATAAAATTAGCCTGATTGCCTGAAAAATCTGTCCATTAGGCTTCAATTGTGAGAGTAATCTTGCAATTACTCTGATTACTAGATAAAGATAAGACAAATTTTGCAAATAGCCTAATAGGTATATGAATATGTTCATAAGGCAATGATTGTGAGATGGATCCTGGAATCAGAGAACTTGGCAGATGAACATCATGTCATTAGCCTGATTGCCAAATAAACCTTTCTATTCAGCCCTAATTGTGCGATGAATCTGGCAATTAGAGTAATTGCCGGATGGAAATGAGATGAATCTTGCAATTAGAGTAATTGCCAAATAAAAATATGAGTATACTTTCCAGATAGGAGTGAGAAAAATCTTGCAATTAGCCTGATTTCCCGATTAATATGTCCATCAAGCCTGAATTGTATGATGAATCTAGCAATAAGCCTCATTGGGTGTTCATCAAACCCTAATTGTAAAATGAATCTTGCGATCAGAGCAATTGCCAGATGGAAATATGCTTGGAATCTCTATCCTATGGACTTTCTCCCAGGAAACTATTCACAACATTCACCTTCTCTCTCTTTCCTTCTTTGGTACGCACGAGGTTCCACAAACATTATGGGAATTTCCTTTATTGCGCCCCAAGGGATGAAAAAAGACTAATTGCCAGATAGATATGTTCATTGGGATGTGTGTGAGAGTGAGATAAATCTCGCAATTAGAGTGATCGTCAGATGAATCTTACAATTAGCCTAATTGCCAGATGAATCTGTCCATCAGGTTCAAATTGTCAGATGAATATTTTGTCACGTTATGTCTGCTCAGCTCCTCCGTAGTTTTGTATAGGTGGAGCGGAATCGAACATTCTCAGTGTAAAAAAAAAGTTCATAATTGGATCATTTGAGCAATAATTTTCATATCGTGAGAATCATTGGAACACACAACAACTACAAGTTCCGCTCCACTAGAATCGTCAGTTCGAAATGCAACTAAACAGCCAGGATCCTCGCTGTAAATCTGGCAAAGAGTGTCGGCGCAGTACCAAAATCGATTACACTCTGAAATAGGCTTCGTCGACTCCTTTCAGTGGTGCTTTCAGTCTTGCCAACGTTGATCACGAGGCTTTCAGCTTGTTTGTAAACAACCGAGGAAATATGGTGAGCAAATATTAACGGTGAATTTTCTTCGTGTCAATGTCATGCTATTTTTCATACAACATTGAAATGAGTGTAGATATGACCGTCGTTGAGAAATTGAATGCAGTGTTGTGATTCTATTGACTCGACTTTGTCATCTTCAAAATCATTTATACTTGGTGTTTCAAAACTCAGTATGAAGATTTCAGGGGCCTATTCTCCGGATCAAAATTGAAGTCTAATTTTTTCCTAAACAGGTGTCCGCAAACGGTTCGTTACCGATCTACAGGGCGTTGGAATTTCAAGATTCTTTTTTGGAGGTTCTTTCAGTTTCGAGATATTTAGATCAAATTTTGTACATAGGCTACGTTCTGGGGTTCAGCACATTGAACAGTATGTCGAATGATTATAAAAATCTACAGCAAAATGAACATTTTGTCAGGAGTCAATCCCATTTTCGCTTCATGAACTTTTTTATAGTGGGCCACTAGTAGATATTACTTATCTGCGACCGTTATAAAAACTAATCATGTTTCTTAGTTTGCTAGATTGAATTAATATTATTCCACAAAAAGGAATAACCTATTATCACAATTGAAACAAAAAACGCTACATATTCAGTTTGTGATCTCAATTACAAGTTTCCGAATATATAAAGAATCAGGAACCGAACGAGCTTTGATTTTTTATAAAAAGTGTTGAAGAATGAAATAATCTTGAAACTTCAACGCTCTGTATTTCGGTAACGAAGCGTTTGCGGACAAATACTTATAAGAATAAATGAGTCCTTGAAAACTGCTTGATGCAGAATTTATAGTGAAGGCAATAACACAGAGCGAAAATTCATACAGTCTACTCCACCAAAAACATACTTTAATGTAAGCAATTCATAGAAGCTACATGTTTCGAAGCTTCAAAGCTTCATCATCAGCAACAAGTTACATAGGAGCAATGTTATGGAGGAAGAAAATGTGTTCACATATTTATAAAAACAAAAATGAAAATTGTTGAAACAGTGATAAAACAGGGGACCGCGAAATGCCGGTCACCTGTGCTAAGGTACTATAATGGGAAACATCCTAATGAATAATCAACAATCAACCTGGAATCGAAAAGTGAGGAAATTCACTTGAACATGCCGAAAGCTTTTCACGAAATATTACTTGAGCATCAACATATTGCTGCTCCTAAGGTAGCATATGGAGTTAATAACAAAGCCTGCACAGTAAACATCATTTAAGATCACTTTGGGCTGGAGGACCTCAATGGAGGTCGATGGCAAGTTGATATGTAGTTATCTCAACGAAGTACATAATAAACTATACTACTACCACTATATACTACTTATAACAAAGTTGAGCGAAGAAAGATGAAAAAAATCAATAAGTCAAAGAAATTATGACTTGTAAATGATTCACCCTGTATTGATATTGAATTTTCATGTGAAAATTTCAGTAATTGAGAATCAAAAATCACTCTCGGGAATTCCTATTGGAATAGATTCATTTGTTATTTTACGAACGAAACACGAAATTTATTTGACCACCGATTAGTATCTATCAGTTTTTGTAATTCTCTGATATTTGATGTATTATGTTTTTTTGATACTTTTATAAGATAACCAAGATGAAAAGATAAGATAGAAACTGACGCCAAGAAGGCATGCTTCGATGAAATATCTAACAAGTTTTACTAGTTTCCTCTGTATTTTCACCTTGTTTTATACATGTGGAAATATACGTTTTTGAAAAACTTGATGAACATCTATTGAATCAACGACAATCACAACAAAGTGGTTTGTTTTTCACGAACGACAGATAAATTTCTCGACCACAAAGAACATTGCTCGACTTTGGAGCAATTTATATTACATTTTACGAATCAGCTATAGGTATGTATTGGCAAGGCAAGCCCAAAGATTGAAACAACTGTCAATAATGTAATCACTAGTAAATAGTTCACTCTGTATATTGTATTGTAAGTGTGTTGCAGAAATTCCTATTGTAATTGTTTGTTCAGCTTAAATGAATTTCTTCGTTATTTCACGAACTATACTCGAAAATTTTTGGCCACTGATTATCACTTTGAAGCTCGTTTTGAAGCAACAAGGTAACGACCCACGGCCGTCGTAGTCGCCGCTGTCGCTTGCCACTCTGTTTATTTCGCCAGTGATTCATTCTCAACATTTTTGGACAGTCAGGTGATTCATTCATTCATCCCAGTATTTTTGACTCTCGATGTGGAAGAGTATCAAGAAAATCATGCATAAGAAGGTCTTATACAGACATGCGAACTAAACCCACAAAACTCTAAGATCTTTAAGGTCTTTGAGTTCTGTGGCTGAACCTGATAGTGAACATGAGTTCGCACATGGTTCGCACCGTGCTGCACAAAAACTGACACTACTGCCTCTGGAGTCTGGATTTCAATTGAAGCGAAACCCAAACAATTCCATGCTGATTGTATGATGATTACATGGATTTCATGATGATTACATAGATTTCATGATGGTTACATGGATTTCATGATGGTTACATGGATTTCATGATGATCACATGATGATTACATACTGATTACATCAAGCCTGTGTCACGATTCCATGAAGCTGTACCCCCTCGCTTTTTTCCTCCAGAACAGCGCTCCTATGTGATGAAGCTTTGAAGAACGTACCTCTGCTATGAATTGCTCACATTAAAGTATAGTTTTGGTGGAGTAGACTGTATGAATTTTCGCCCTTTCCTATTGATAGGTACAGAATTTCAAAGCACCCTGTATTATGTTAACCTATACACTGAGAATAAAGATCTCGAAATGTACTTAAAAACCTGCAACCAAAGTTATCCCACTCTCTCATATTCATAGACTGAACTCCTTTCTTGAAACGATACAATATCACTTTCGTTCGATGCTACTTCAAATTCTCCCAACAAAATTCACGAATGTATTAAAGAGAAACGTTTCAAGATAATCAGTGAAGAAACCAGTTATGATTAATTCAAATCAATTCTCTGCCTGAGGAAATTCGTAACTCCAAGAAAATATTTCCATATAGTTGGAAAGATCAAACAAGTACTCTTGACAAGAATATAATCAATTTTCATGGAATTGGGTGTATCGCTTATTTGGAGAGATCTGAATACGAATGTCAAGATTAGCGATGCTCTTGTTATGAAATTTGCTCGAAATTCTGTATGAGGATTTATGATTGACTTCAATTGAGAAATTTCTCTGCCACTATTCGAAATTTCGAAAATCAGTACTAGATGTCCACAAAAAGTACTTATGATGAGCGACGAATCAGTTCTCAGTTGAAAAAGTGCAATAACTTCTCGAGGATATGTGCTCTTGTGACTCAACCAGAGAAAATCTCCTTTTGATAATACATACTTATAAAAGTGGATGAAATTCTTCAATGGAAGATACAGAAATACTTAATTCAAGTATCTTTATCCAGAAAATCTATTTAATGATTTCATATAGGGAGATTGAATTACGAGAACATTCAATCTTGGAATGGGAGGATGGCATTCTTGACATTCTGGATACCCAAACCCGATTCGATTATTTTCTATTGGTTTTCAAATCATATGTCCACCAATTTTATGAAGGTATTCTAATTATTAAACCTATATCACGAAGCAAACCACCAAGTACCTACTCGATATCAAATCTGACCTTGGCACGTCGCCACAGACGTCATCACGTTTTTTTCTAGTTGAGGCCAAAAAAGTACCAAAAATGAGCATGAAGCTGATATGATTTTACATCTAACGCTCTAAGGCAACGCATTTTAGCGGTCATTCTATTCCTATATTATAGGTAGGTACCTATTATCACTCACCTCGAACATTTTCAGTAGATTTCATAAAGTCCTAGGATGTTCACTCTAGGAGAAGTTCACTAATGAGAATTCATTTTGCCATCGCTTAGCTATTGTGTAGCACCAAACCACATCAAACTACAGATTTTCACCAATCACACGACACAAACGACAACGAATGCAATTATTGTTTACCGCTCTCAAGTGGACATGGCGTCCACTCCTCTAACATTTTGTCAAAAAAAAAGTTATTCAAACCAAAGATCTCCACACTCTCAGGGATAATCTGGACTTCTTGAAATAATGAGAGCGAGATCTTCAAAACATAACTCATGGGATATATGGAAATGAGACATATTTCCTCAAATCAATACATATAATACGTACATTTCAAGATACCATTGTTCAATCAGAAAAATAATATGATTTCCCATCTTGAGCGCGACATACACCCTCTTCAAGGTTTTGAAGTGTCTTGTTATGAACGGATTGAGATCTTTCAAGTAAAATGAAAGCCTCACAATGAAACAAGATATTCAAGTTGTTTATATTATCAGTAGAAAATATGTAATCCACCATTCGAAGGTTATAGCACGAAGTCTTTTGATATCAGACAAGTTATTCGAGTACTCTGTTGAAGTAAATGATCAAGAAAATATATTTTTCTTTGAATATGGAGTTTCTCACTCTAAGAAGTAAACTCTTCACCAAAGATGATATGTTCAAACAAGTGCACTATTATTTTCCAAACATTTACTTTTCACTGTATACTATAACTATGTAAATGAAACAATTGCATCCAGATGAAATGTCAAAAAATCCTCGAGATGAATTCTGACATGCGACGATGTTTGGGATGATATTGATTGTTCCCTGATGGCACATGTCTACTATTCTTTCTAAATTTCTTGAGTGTCGAACAATTTCTTTTCAATGAATTAGAGTATATTGAATACGTTATTTTTACTCTCTGAAAATCAGTGGATTTACTCCTACTCTCATTTCACCGAAACTGCAAAATGTTATATCCTCAGAATGTAGGTCTTTTTTATCGAGTTCTCTATCGATATGTTTGAGAGGATACGAAGAATCTGTGGTTTTTGCAAGAGGTATGAAGATTATATTTGACAAATAATACTACCTCATTCCATTATTATTGTTAATAAGTTTTTATTCTTGTTGCTGGCTCCCAATTCGATAT